TCCATGACCATGCCAATGCGGCGCTCAGCAATCCCATTTTGCTGTGGAGAGTCCGGTAGCGTATAGGTCTGGCGGATGCCTCGCGCACGACAGTAGGCTCGCAGAAGGCCAGAGGAGAACTCTCCGCCTCGGTCAGAGTGCAGACGCAGAACAGGAAAGTCCGAGCCGAAGCTCCTCCTGAGCTGAAGACGAGCTGCGCAGATCCAGTCGATCAGCACCTCAGCGACATCACCCTTGCTGCGCAAGGGGAAGACTGAGGTGTAACGCGAGTAGTCGTCAACCACCAGCAGGAAGTAGCGCTTGTGACCCTGTCCACGGACGCGGGCTGGGCCCCACACGTCCATGTGAAGCGTCTGCAGCGGGGCCTCTGTCGGGGGAAACTGAGAGGAGTGAGGGGCAGCATGGAGCCGCCCCTCGACACAGGGGACACAGGAAGGACCAGGCCCCAAAGGAAGGGGAGGGAGGGACCGGGGAAGACCAGAGACAAGGACACGGGAAGCCATGCCTCGGAGACGAGGCAGGGAGGGGTGACGAAGACGGTGGTGCCAGAGGAGAGTCTCGTGAGACAGGAGGCGACACGAGCAGGGGGCAGACTCAGGACCAGACCTGGACGCTGCAGCAAACACCTGACCCGACGCAGCTACCTGACCAGACGCAGTGACTGGAGGAGACGCAGTGGTCAGTGTGTACAGGCTCGACCATGGCCGACGTGTAAACGTGGCCAGGTGTCGGCCTGTCCAAGCGTCCGTGCAGTGGGTCACCCGCTGACTCGCACGAGTGAACTGGTGAACCCCCGTATCCTGCAGGTCAGCACCACTCACCAAGTTCGTAGAGAACGAGGGGAGGTGAAGACCAGACAAGGTGCCAGAGGGGGCAGCCGGACACGGGAGGACAGTGGAGAAGTGAGAGAGGACAGGACCCCAAGAGGGGTCTGCCAGGGAGACTGCAACTGGCCGACCAAGTGGCGTGAGTGTGGTGCGGTCTCGAAATAAGGAGCGAGAAGCCCCTGAGTCAAGTGTGAAGGTGAGGGAGGCCGAAGCCGACGTGGTACCTGAGAGCGCAGACTCACCAGCACCTGAGGGCGCGGACGCACTGGCACCTAGAGCAGCAGCCTCACCAGCACCTTGAGCTGCAGTACCAATGCGCGGGTCGGGCGGGAAACACTGGTAACAGTCACCCTCATCACTAATAGTCACAGCATACATGGCAGCAAGGATAGCATCAAAGTCAAGATCAAAGATAGCTACGCCTGCCCTAGACAGCTCTCCCCAGCAGGGGATCTCACTAGCCTCCGGGAATTGCTGACGCCAAGTGTCCGTCATGCGGCCAAAGCAGCGCTGGGTGGGGTGAGCACCCCCACACTGCTCACCCTCGCGGTCACCGGAGCGAAGGACGTAGGTGCACGGGCCAAAACCCCCACAACGCTGACGTTGGGTGTACCATTCACGGAGCTGCTGAGGAGGGGGGATGTCCCAAGAACGCTGCTGCTGCTGCTGGTGCTGGCGCTGACCACCCCCGGAGCCGCTCGGCTGCGAAGCACCACCCCGACCAGCTCCACCTCCTCCACCACCGCCGCCTCCACCTCCGCCACCACCGCCGCCTCCGCTCCCACCGCTACCGCCACCGCCGCCTCCGCCTCCGCTGCTGCCACCGCCACCTCCACCCCCGCCACCACTCCCACCGCCACCCCCACTCCCTCCGCCGCCTCCACCGCCACCTCCACCACCCCCGCTAGCTCCACCCGCGCCCTTGCCCCCCTTGCCCTTGCCAGAGCGGCGTCTCCCGCTAGGGGCAGACGCCGCACTGACCGACTCAAGACCAACGAGGTCGGCCGCAGCAGCAGAGGCGACAGAGGGCAACAAGGGGGAAGGGGAACACCCCTCAAAGATGGGGGTGCAAGGGTCACCACGAGAGGCTCCTACAGCGACTATGCTCTTCTCCGCTACTAGGAGGGCCTTCTCTAGGAGGTCAACAGTGAGAGTGGTGGGACAGACTGAGAGGAAGTGGTCCCTGACTACGCCAAGGGAGTCAGGGAGGCGGGTGACTATATAATAGAGAGTGATGTACATGGGGGGGGGGGTTCTTGGCGCAGAACTCAGCAGGAAGCGCAGCGCGGTAGCGAGTGTCACTAGTGCGGAGGTGCGTAATGAGGTCAGCGACTGTGGGAAAGGCAGCAAGGTCAGGAAAGAGGTACGGTAGCATGAGGCGGCTCAGTGCAGCAGTGGCAGGGGAAGAGTAGCGTGCAACTACAGCGTCGTACAAGGTCTGATCACTCTTGTACTGACTAAAGTGCGCGCGCTCAGTGGTAGGCAGGTGGCGACGCACAACAAGACGTGCAGCAGCATCGCGAGTGGCCCACTGGGAGCGAATAGTGGCGTCGGCATCGGCAGCAGGGGCAGGGGAAGCACCAGAGGTGAGGTCAAAGAGGGAAAGACCGTCTGCCCTATCGCACTTTAGGAAAAGCTGCAGGTCATCCACCCAAACCTCAAAGTCAATGGCTCGACCCTCAGCGTCAAAAGCGAGAACAGTGGGGGTAGCCATGACAGCAGTGGACTAGCAGTACCAACTGTAGGACAGGGGCAGTGCAGTGACAGAAGCGCTGCTCTCACCAGGCAGGGCGGGTCGGGCAGCTTAGCTGTACAGCAGCACGGCAACACGGCTGCTCGGACGGCACAGCAGCAACTGCGGCTCCGTGGCACCAGCGGCTCGGCTCCTCAGGCGGCTCGGGCGGCTGAGGCGGCTCGGGTGGCTCAGGCGGCTCGGGCGGCTCGGGCGGCTCGGGCTGGTCGGGCGGCTCGGGCGGCTCAGGAGAGTCGGGCGGCTCGGGCAGCTCGGGCAGGTCGGGCGGCTCGGGAGGCTCGGGCGGTTCGGGCGGCTCGGGCGGCGCGGGCGGTGTAGGGTGGCAGGGCCGCTGGTGCGAGGGGCGGCTGGGCCGCTGAGAAGGGCGGCGAGGCCGCTGCGGAAGGGCGGCGGGGCCGCTGAGTAGGGCGGCGGGGCCGCTGAGTAGGGCGGCGGGGCCGCTGAGGAGAAGGGCGGCGGGGCCGCTGAGTAGGGCGGCGGGGCCGCTGAGGAGAGGGGCGGCGAGGCCGCTGAGTAGAAGGGCGGCGGGGCCGCTGAGTAGGGCGGCGGGGCCGCTGAGGAGAAGGGCGGCGGGGCTGCTGAGGAGAAGGGCGGCGGGGCCGCTGAGTAGGGCGGCGGGGCCGCTGAGGAGAAGGGCGGCGGGGCCGCTGAGTAGGGCGGCGGGGCCGCAGCGAGGGAGGCGGCGGGGCCGCAGCAAAGGGCGGCGGGGCCGCTGAGAAGGGCGGGGCCGCAGCGACGGGCGGTGGGGGGGGCGCTAAGTAGGGCGGGGCCCACTGAGAAGGGCGGCGGGGCCGCTAAGACGGGCGGCGGGGCCGCACTAAAGGGCGGCGGGGCCGGTAGGGGAAGGGGCCGCTAGGGCGATAGGGCGATAGGGCCGCTAGGGCGATAGGGTCGCTAGGTCGTAGGGGGCCGCTAGGGCGGCTCGGCGAGGTGAGAGCCCGGAGCGCGACTCGGGCGGAGCGCGCCTCGGGCAGGAGAAAAAAAAAAAAGGTGAAACTCGATGTGGTGGGCCCTAGGCACAATTCCCAAGGGGGAACCTGCTCGATACCATGAGAAAAGTAGAACGAGAATGAGTTAACTAAGGAATGGAAGTGATACAAATATGCAACCCTAGAAATGTGTACCCCATATAGGCTACCCCACTATGGCCTACACAATATTATAATTTGACAGCGACATCCTGTTCCAAAAAACTAGGTCCAGCTAAGCATTCCCAGAGGTAACCTTACGCCCGCCACTTTTCATCAGCTGTGAATTGAGAGATGCAAAGCAGTGGATGTCGAAAATTACGGACGCAACGAGTTTTACACAAGATCGAGTTCGCGTTCAGGCAACATGCAAGGATCTACACCTGCAAATTTGGGGCAGTTTGGCGTAAGCGACAACAGAAGAATTTTGCAGAGGAGCAGAACGTGTTGGGAGGAATCAGAATGGTCGGCAAAAGATGGACGTGGACGAATGCATTCGCTGCACTGTGATCCAGACGGAGGGCAAGCATCACCCCGCCCTAGTCATCCCACCTGGAGAAGTAGCTAACCTTTTGTTCCTCGAGCACGGTTACGACCGTTGTGGTAGTAAATGCTTGTTCACGTCGGTGTATACTTATCGTTAATCATTGAAAAAATAAGTAACTGGTATGGAGTGCCACTGTAAAGCGAGTACGTCCACAATGTTTCGATTGAAATTGGTGTGAGCTGGCAGTGGCGCCAAACCAATCTAGCCGTTGCTGGCCATCTGGGCGCATCAGTCAAATTTCGGCAGATTTCTCGGCCCCACCCGCCGCAGCCCGCGTGTGCGACCCTCTTGCTAAGGGTGTGGTACATTGTTCATTGTTTTCGTTCGGACGGCCAAACGTCCGGACGATTCTGTCACCACAAACCCCTTTAATTCTCGGCAGTGAGTTCGTCAGGGTCTAAACGACGTCGCTTTCTTCGTATTGCATCCTTACGACATCGTATTAGTCGCATCATGACCGAGCGACGTCGCATTCTTCGCACGCGTCCGTATAGTCGTCCGGACATTCAGCGACTACAAAAAATGTAACACGCCCTTACTGTTCTCCCCTCCTCTTCCTCTCCACGCGGCCGGCTTTGATGTGTGCTGCGATTGTGAGCGAGGCTGTGCCGCAGGATCGCATCCCTCCTCACCTTGTCGCTCAATCGCACAACCGCTCAACAACACCTCCACTCCACCTCATTCATCCCTCATTTTTCTGCACAGCCAAGCAAGTTCAGTTCTTCTAGCTTTTCGTGCCGCCATTTCGCTTACTCATTTTGGGTCGGCCTGATCTTGCAAGTTATACCTATTCTTACTGCGATTGCACCAAGAAATCTCGGACTAGTTTAGTCGTCGGCGATACACGCCTTCATAATATCGTTCAGTCGTCGGCGATTCTTGTGTTCATCCAATCGACTTTTGGAATGGCGTCGGTAGACGGGTTTCAGGTCCCTTCGGACGATGATTACGACGCTCTATACCAGATATTCAACCAGTATTGCTGGTGCGTGCTCGACCTGATCATACTGTTCGCAGTAGCGAAGAGAAGGACGTGGTTTTTCAGGTGTATTACGGTGGTTTGCTCGACAAATTGCCCAGCGTGGCTTCATCAATTCGCGCTGAAATATAGTTTCTGAGTTTTCATCTGCCACATTCGTCCCTTTTCTGGAATGAATTTCATCCGTGTGTGCGTGGCAGCCTCGGCACGGCGCGCGAAGTGGACGAGATGGACAACATCAAGTTCGTGCGATTCTGTCGCGACCTGGGGATCATCGCGCACGCGGGAGGCGGCGCGGGACTGCACGTCACGGACGTCGACCTGCTCTTCGTCACCATCAAGCCGCGCGTGAGCCCCGCGACGCCGCATGTAGAATCGTGGCCGTTAAGCCGCTAGCCGTTAAGCCGTGTCTAGAATCGTAACCACTCAACCCGTTTAAGGATTTAGCCGTTAAGTTGTGTTCAGAATTGTACCCGCGATCTGAGGAGTGTAGCCTCTAGTGCCGCTCTGTAGTTCGTCTTCTTCGGTTTGCGGAGCGGTTAGTTGTGAGCGACGAGTTGTGAGCGACGAGGTGTGATCGACGAGTTGTGAGCGACGAGCCGTGAGTGACGAACTGCGATCGACGAGCTGTGAGCGACGAGGTGCGAGCGACAATGTGTCGGTGTTCTGCTTGCCGCGCGTGTGCGTGCAGGGCCGCAAGAAGCTGACGTTCGACAACTTCTGCGACGCCGTCGCCGTCATGGCCGACAAGCTGGGCGTCACCTCCACCGACCTCATCCGCCAGGTGCGACCTCATCCGCCAGGTGCGACCTCATCCGCCAGGTGCGACCTCGTCCGCCAGGTGCGACCTCGTCCGCCAGGTGCGACCTCGTCCGCCAGGTGCGACCTCATCCGCCAGGTAAGACACAATCGGCCAGGTAAACCCTACCGCCAGGTAAGAACCTATCCACCAGGTAAGAACATATTCACCAGGTAAGAACTTGTCCACCAGGTAAGAACGACCTTATCCGCCAGGTGCGACCTGGGATAAGTCAGTTAGGGCAAGGGGGTTGGCACAGCAGTTCCGCTTCCGCACTGATGTGACTCTGCAAGTTCAACCCTGTCGCAGTGCCTCACGCTTGGTCCTTCTCCTCATGTACTCATGTGCTCGTGTCCACGTGTCCCTGTCATCGCGTGCCACGTGCAGGCCATCGCTATGGACCTGCCGCAGCCCGCGCTGACGTCCGCGACGCGCCACTCCATGACGCTCTCCCACCACGTCTCCTCGTCGCTCCTCGCGTCGCACCAAACCCTCTCCTCCGCGCACTCGCGCCGCCTCTCCCTCCCTCACCCCGCCGCCGGGCACGCTGCTTCCGCGCACGCTGCGTCCGCGCACGCTGCGCCCGCCTCCCCCGCCGCCCTCGCGCCCCTCGCCGCCCACACGTTCTATTCGCTCAGGGAGGGCCGGGGCGGACGACCCGCTGCTGGTGGCGCTAGTGGTTCCGCTGGGGGGTTCGGGGGAGGGGGGGGTGGCGCGGGGGACATAGTGCCGCCTGGCGACGAGTTTCCCCCGAGGCTGAGGCTCATCCGCACGAGGTCTCTAGAGGCGGAGGAGCACGCTCGCAGTGCTGCTGGCGGGTTCGGGGCGTCCCATGCCACGGGCGCGCGGGCGGCAGGAGGACACGTGGCGGAAGGAGAGGCGTGCCGCCCAGAGCCGCTGAGCGAGCTGAGGTCATCACTGTCGGATCACAACTCGCATGAAGGCAGGGCGATGGGCGGGGCGGAGAAGGGCGGGAGGGGGACGGAGGGAGGGCAGCAGGCGGGGAGGGGTGCAGGCGAGCGGAATGAGAACGCGCAAGGCGGGGAGCCTTTTGCGCAGAGGCAGGCAGTGGCGGGGGGACGGGATTGGGATGCGGTGGAGTGGCGCCATGGTGGGGAGGAGGTGGCGGCGAGAGGGGGGTATGCGCAGGGGATAGCCGATGATGATAATGATGGTGGCGACAGCATTGGCGTGGGCTGGACGGATGGCGCCATGGGACGAGCGATGGTGTCCGCTGTGGCAGCAGCAGCCGAGGATTTGAGGCAGGGCCGCAGGGGACAGGCAGGAGGGGTAGTGGGAGGGGCGGCAGAGGGCGGAGCAAGCAGAGGCGCGCTGCAGTATGATGGTGAGTGCCTGTGGTGGTGCATGGGGTGGTGCATGGGGTGGTGTACGGGGTGGTGTACGGGGTGGTGTATGGGGTGCTGCATGGGGTGGCGCGAGTAAATCGCGAGCATGAGATTAAGCGAGAGAACTAAGAGGGGAATGAGGCGTGGGAGAGGGGCCGGGTTGGGAATGAGCGTGCCTGTGTGTGGATGGCTGCGGGGTGCACTGAGTGGGCAGGCGGGACATCGTGTGCCTGCAAGCGTGCATCCAATAGCTTCTTTCCCGCTTCGTCCGCTGCAGACGAGGGGGGCAGCAGCGCGGATCGGCGGCTGACAAATGAGAACCCGGCAGCGTCAGCAGCGGAGGGGGCGGTGGCGAGTCTCATGTTCTTCGATGCCTTCCGCTTCTTCTCCCTCCCCCACTTCGCCCGCCACCACTTCGTTCCGCTGGTAACTCCCCCCCGCCTTTGCCTCAGTGGCTCTCCCATTCCTTGCCTCGTGCCTCAGTGACTCATCCCATGTACCCATTTCTGCTTAACGTGGCATGTCAGGCATGAGTCTCATACCCGTGCAGTTCCTGTATGCATTCATGCTCTTGTCACTGGCATTCCATGGTCATGTGTTGCCATTGTCGTTATGCATGCCGAAGTAGGTAATTTACTCATCCCTTTATGCCCAAACATCGTGCATGCGCCCATGGCATGGGTGAGCAGGCGCAGTGTGGCAGGCATCAGCTGCAGGGGCTGCCACCGCCGCGCATGGACAGCATTCGATTCATCAAGATGTGCAAGGAGACCGCCATCCTCGACGCCCGCTTCACCACCACTGTACGTCCCTCCCTCCCCCTCCTGCTCCCCCCTGACTGCCTGCTGCGTGCTGCCTCCCCTATTACGTCAAGAGTGTGAGGAATCTGCCATTTTTCATGCACACTTCACCAACCTTGCCACTTGCCATGCTTCTGGACTCCAAGAAAGTACTGCCTTGAGCTCGCGTTCCTGGATGCATTGCTGCCTTGTTGATCTCTATCTCACCTGCTCGCGGCCTTCATGGCTGGTCAGGCGTGCATGCATGTATGGAGCCCTTACTCGCCACATACATTTCTGCCTCACCATCTTCTCCTTGTGTGCCTTTCCCACGCCCCTCCCACGTCCCTCCCACGCTCCTCCCATGCTCCTCCCATGCCCCAACACGCCGCTCCCTTCGTCCCCACCAGAGTGTGCACATTATTTTCAGCAAGGTGACACGCGGCAGCGAGCGCAAGCTGTGCGATTACACGCTCATCCCTTCCACTCCCTCACTCCCTTCCTCCCTCCACGCCCCACCAGAGTGCGGACATTATTTTCAGCAAGGTGACGCGGGGCAGCGAGCGCAAGCTGTCCGTCTACACGCTCGCTGCCGCGCTGCGACTCATTGAGGCAGAGAAGGGCCTCGCCCCGCCCGCTCTAGAGCGCATCATCATCGCCCACTTCCTCGCCCACGTCCCTGATGCTGCCCTCCCGCCGCCCGGCGCCAACCCCTCCTCCTCCTCCCCCTCGTCCTCCTCCCCTGTGGCCGCATCCGACTGCAGCAGCCAGCAGCAGCAGCGGTGGCAGCAGCAGCAGGAGCAGCGGCAGCGGCACCAGCTGGAGTGGATGCAGCAGAGTGCTGAGCGCCAGTACCCCCCTGCTGCTGGCTGCTGGGCTGCTGCACCCTCTCCTGCACCCACATCCGTGCCCTCGCCTTCCCCCGCTCGCTCCAGTGGGTCTAGCCAGCGCTCAGGGCAGGGCATGTATGCCCGCCTGCTGCAGCTTCACCAGCAGGGGTTTGTGCATGAGGTTGGGGGTGAGGTTGGGCATGGTTACGGTGGGTGTGAAGTGGTGGGAGGCGGTGAGGGCCAGGGACGGTGTGGGCGGTGGCAGTCGCCCCAGCCCCAGCGGCGGCACTCGATGTGCGCGATGAATGCTTGCTATGAGCTGCCCCACCACCACCCACACAGTACAGCCGTGAGGGATGAGAGAAGAGAGGAGCGGAGGGAGGAGAGGAGGGAGGAGGGTGGTGTAGTGTACAATGGGGCAGGGTGGGAGGGGGAAGTGGAGCAGCAGGGCAGTGGGGCGGGGGTCATGGTGGGGGAGGTGGGGGGCGGGAGGAGGAACAGGCTGGTGGCGGGAGGCAGTCTGGCATGCCCCACCTTGTCCTACCACTAACTCGTGTGCTGCTCACTCACACGCATGCTGAGTTAGCATCATGGCTTCGATTAGTGACAAGGTGTAGCTTTTAAGGTACTGTACAGCTTAACTTCACAGATAGGACTATTTAATGATATCAACACACGATTGCCTTGCTCTCTTGGGCGAGTTGCAGAACTGGAGGATATTGCTAGAAAAACAGCTGTGGTAGCAGTAATAGTGGATAAAATACATGAAACTATGGTAAATTATAGGAGTCGTTCTTTCAAAATTTCTGCAAGGATGCTATAGAAGAGGTTTTAAAATTATACGATTTCTGCTGAGAAATATTAGAGTACAGTTCAATTTACTCCCTTACATCTAGCTTTTTCTTTCGTCCCCAATTCCTGCGCGAGATTTTTCTGGATGACATTCTCGTAGTAGGGCTCGTTCTCTCGTAGGACCACAGATACTTCACTTGATCTTAGGGGGACATCGCTTGGCGGTGCGCCTGCTGGTGGGGGGCATGGACATCGCGACCGGAACGGAGCAGTCGTCGGACGGACGGGAGGTGTCCGAGCGGCGTGCGCGGCGAGTGCACAAGAGCGCGTCGGAGGCCAACATCAGGGGAGCCGGGTTGCGGGGCGGGTGTGCTTTGGCGGGGTCCATGGGGATGTTGACGGGCGCGGGCAGCGGCAAGTGGGTGAACGGCGGGTCCATGGGGGCGATGGAGGCGCAGCTGCGCGCCGAGCAGGAGGAGCTGGCGTACCTGCGCATGGAGGCGGAGCGCATCGAGCGCAGCGGCGTCATCGACATCGTCAACGATGACGGCGTCGGCGGCGGCGGCGGCGGAGGCGGCGGCGGCTTCCCGAAACACCTGAGCTGGAACTACCGCGGGCTCGACATCACCCCCAAGGGCAGCAGTCGCGCGCAGGCCGGCGCAGATAGGGATGGGGGGGTAGGGGCGGAGTCGGTGCTGGCGTCGTGGGCGCGGGAGCGGCGTGAGTTGGAGGGGCAGGTGGGCGCAGTGAAGGCGGAGCTGAAGCGCAAGGAGAGAGCGCTCAAGGCGGCGGGCAAGGGCAAGGCGGCGGCGGGCAGGGAGGTTGACGCGGTGTGGGCGCAGGTGAGCGCGGTGGAGGCGCAGCTGCACGACGTGCAGGGCGACAAGTGCGCGCTCGAGAAGGAGATCCAGGGGCTGCGCGCGCTGCTGCACGTGTCGAGTGCGCGCGACTCAGGGGAGTCAGCGGGCGCGCGGGGCGCGGATACGGAGATGGCGGGCATGCTGAAGATGGTGGGCGACTTCTCCCGGCGACTCGCCCTCGCTGACGACGCCGTGCGACGCGCCGAGGCCAAAAACGACCAACTGTCGGGTATGCCATGCCATGTGTGGGTTAGATGGGATGGAAGTGAAGCGGGGAACTGGAGCGTGAAGAGGGTGAGAGTGTTGGGGAGCAAGTGCATGTGTGCGTCCGTTCGCTTTCAGCCGCCTTGTACTCCCCACCCCACCCTCCACCGTCACTTAAGGTTGCCCCACATATCCCCTTTTTCGTGCACCGCTGCTTCTCTTGTCGCTTCTCCCGCGCACAATTTCCGCCACTGCGCTGCGCAGAGCGGTTGAAGGCGAGTGAGGCGGAACTGCGCGGAACGAGGGAGGTGCTGCGCACGGCACAGGAGGAGCGCGACGCACTGGCAGCGGAGATGAAGCAGGCGCTGGACACGTGGGCGTGGACCAGCTGTGCACACCCCGCCCCTGCTCCTGCTCCTGCTGCTGCCACCCCTGGCAGAGGGGGCAGCAGGGGCAGCGGTGGCATGGGTGTGGCCGCTTCAAGCACATCCGCATGGGGGGGGTCGGCATGGGTTGAGCACATGGGGGAGGGCATGGCGCAGAACGGCATCCCGGGTGGTGAGGATGGCATGCAGCAGTGGCTGCAGCGCGTGCAGGATATCGGTGGTGCGAGCCAGTGGGGAAGGGATGGGTACAGTGGTGCTGGTGGTGGTGCCGTGAGCCGGCCACCCTGGGGCCGAGACTCCTAGGCGCGACCAGTGCAGTTCGATGCCCTCGCGTGCAGCCCATCCCCGCCTTGACTTGCTGCAGCCCATCCCCGCCTTGACTTGCTGCAGCTCGTCCCCGCCTTGACTTGCTGCAGCCCATCCCCGCCTTGACTTGCTGCAGCCCATCCCCGCCTTGACTTGCTGCAGCCCCCCCCTCCTGTGACAAACAGACTTCTGAGACGTCTCAAAAGACTCCAGTGACAGGCAGCATCACAACACTGGTCTATCTTGTGCTGCTGGATGGTGTATCAACTGTTGCTCCGCCCGATGAGTACTACTGTGCGCCCAATGAGTACTACTGTGCGCCCAATGAGTACTACTGTGCGCCCAATGAGTACTACTGTGCGCCCAATGAGTACTACTGTGCGCCCAATGAGTACTACTGTGCGCCGAATGCACACAGTACTGGTCGCTGCACTGGGCCGCCATCCAAACTTTCCACTCCACAGCCTTGGATTGGATGAACATAATGTCACATAATTCTTCTAGACACAAAAGAACAATCTGGTGTATGCACAGGCGCCTTATGTTTAATGAACAGGTGTTGTTTGGTGTCAGAGTGGGAGTATGGGAGCAGGGTACAGATGGATGGAGGTGCTCACAATGGTCCCCTCCCACCCCACCCCACCCCGCAAGTGCCATCAAGCACAGTAGATATCATCAAGCATACCAGCAAGCATAGCATCAAAAGCACCAAGCAAGAAACGAGAAAAGGATCTTTTATAGGACTAAACTCCTGGTAGGACTGATGTAATAGCAAAAGCGTTTAATAAAGAGTTGTGAACCACCGTGCGCTAGTATGTGAGGGCAAAGTAGATTGATTAAGGAGATACAAGATTATATGAGAGTACAAGGAATATGAAGAGATGCAGTTATAACTACTTTACTGTTGCTGTTGCGGTTCGATACAGTGACGACTCGGGCAACTGCTCTGTAACGAGTCTGTTGTGTGTCCTTGCTGTCGCGCTGTATTTGTCAGGTCAAAGGTCGCTGACCTTTGACTTTCGCGTAACCTCCAGGCTCCAGCAGTTACTTCAACCTCCGAGGGTTGACTCGCTGGTGCTTCGATATGTTTCGCTTCGCTTGTGTCTTGGTGTTAGTTGTTTCCAACACTACCCTTCGCTTCTGGAGTGTCGCTGCTGGTTACGTGACTCTGTCCAGTCAGCAGCATGCAGTACTCGAACTTCTGCTTTCCGAGCTTTTTGGTCAAGTAGTCAGCTGCCATTTCGGATGTAGGCCAGTATGACAGCTCGAGTCTCCCCTTCTCGATCTCGTCATTCACGAAGAAATATCGTAGGGCGATGTGTTTCGTCCTGTTCGCGAAGCCGTTCTTGTTGGCTATGCGAATTGCTGACTGGTTGTCGCAGAACAGGGTGAAGCTGGGTAACTGAGCGAGCTCCACTTCCTCCAGGAGTTCGCGAAGGTACAGTACTTTCTTCGTGGCTGAGAAGAGTGCGATATATTCTGCTTCAGCTGAAGAGAGGGCAATTAATTGTTGTTTGCTCGACTGCCAGGAGATAGGACCGATAGGCTCGAAGCGATAGATGTAGCCGGTGCGGGAACGCCTGTTGTCGGAGTCGCCGGCGTGATCGGCGTCGACGTAGCTGATTAGCTTAGGAGTCGTGGTTCCGGTTTTGTGGTAGGTTAGGCCGACGGTTGGGGTGCTGACGAGATAGTGGAGAGTGCGGTCGAGTTTTGCCATATGATCTGCTTCAGGTTTCTTGAGGTAGGTGGCGAGCTGGCTTGGGAGTATGATAGATCCGGACAGCACGTAACAACTGCGAAGAGAAGGCATCCTAGCTTTCTCTGGTAGTCGCGTATGCCGGCGGGCTTCAGTGGAGCGGATCCTTCCTTGTGGTTTCCTGTCGTGTAGCAATATGGCATGGAGATGGTGGTCGGCGTGAGAGCGAAGTGTTTGGCGATGGTGTCGGCGTACTTTGCAGCGCTGAGGTAGATCGTGTCCTCCTCTTCCCGTATGTTGAGCCCGAGATATTGCGTGACGGTAGATGAGACCGTGAGTGTGAGGTCTTGTTGTAGCTCCCCTTCAAACCACGTGGTGACGCCGTCGGTTGACCCAATGTAGAGTAGATCATCTACATAGACGATCGGCAGAATGTAATCGGTGCCCTTTGTGAGCCGATACATGCCTTGGTCGTGAGGTAGCTGGCGGAATCCGATGCGAATGAGTCTTGCGTGCAGGTAGTGTTGCCACAGCCTCGGAGCTTGTTTAATGCCGTAGAGCGACTTCAGCAGCTGAAAGACTTGGTTAGGCTCTCCGTTGGAGCCGTGCGGTAGCTCGACGAAGATTTCTGCGTCGACAAGTGCGTAGAGAAATGCGTTGGCGACGTCAATTTGCCGCAGCTTCTTTTTCTTCATGGCGGCGACCGCGAGGAGGATTCGTAATGACGTGTGTCGGCTGACCGGGGCGAACGTCTCAGTGAAGTCGCGCCCGTGTTCTTGGTCGAAGCCGCGTACGACCCAGCGGGCTTTAAATTCGTCGATGGTGCCGTCTGCTTTTGTCTTCACTCGGAAGACCCATTTTCCGGTGAGTACTGTCTTGTTCCGTGCTACGCCGATGGGGACGACTTTCCAGGTATTGCGTTCTTCCAGTGCCTTCAGCTCCATGTCCATGGCTTCGCACCATTTTTCCTTATGCCCCCCCCCCAAGAGCTTGTTGAACTATCGCATGCTCCTTAGGAATAGCTGTCCCGTGGACCGCTATTACGAGGCCGAGTATCTAGAGTCCACTTTGTGTGTAGTGAGGGAGTGATGTGTCCTCGGGATAAACTGCTTCGTCTCCCGCTTCTGGTGTAGGATTGAAATTTGGTCCTACGCGTTCTGCTTCGTTGGTTTTGACTTGTGCAGGTGTAACGTAACTGTTGTCGGCGAAGTGGTAGTAAGCTTCGGGGTTGATGCTGTCGCGCGGGTTTTCGTCGTCCATTGGGACATCAACTGAGCAGTAGGGAAGAGGTCCGGCTTCTTGCGAGGCTCCTTCCACGTTCTGCTCGTCATAGTAAGCTTCATCTTCTACCAAAGCGAAGGCTCGAGTCCCAAGAAATCCGCCCGAGAGGTCTGGGTTATTCTCGTCCACGTGGGCAAGGTATGTCCGGAGGGTGAGGTTTTCGTAGAAGATGACATCACTAACGAGAAACGAGAATGATTGAACTATGAAAGAGTTGGGTACAAATACTAACCCTAATTGGGTTGTACCCCTTATGGGCTACCCTACTACAGCCTACACAAATGTATAAGCTATAATGTTCTGACACACCCCCATAGGCAAAGTGGGGGAGAACAAGTGGTCACAAGACCAATCAAGCAAAGCAAAGCAAAACAAGCTCATGGTGGATCACAAAGTCACCACACAGTCCGAGTACAAGAGTAAGGCCATAAGGCCAGTTCACATGCAAGGTCATATATATAAAGGCAAACAAGCAAGTGCAGGTATAGAAAGAGTACAGTACAAACAAGATCAAGAAGTGAGCAAGTGAGGCCAGGTAGGCACAAGACCTAGCAAAGTACGGAAGCGCTGATGATCACAAGGCGGAAGGGCCTTGGTGAATATATCAGCAGTGTTGGCCTCAGAGCAATGTGCTTCGTTCTGTGCTCCAGTCTGTGCTCCCGACACAAGGCCAGCATGGCCTTGTTGTCTACGTACAGAACTGGAGGAGAACAAGGCGGCTCTCTTAGGTCAGTCAGCAGGTAGGTGAGCCAGCATAGCTCCTGTGCAGCCATGGCCCCTGCGTAGATCTCAGCCCCACAGCTGGAGCTGAGAACAGAAGACGAGCGGGTAGACCGCCAGGAAACAGAGCCGGCGCCAAGGCTGAAGGTGTAACCCTGTGACGACCGCTGCAGAGCCTGGTCGTCAGCCCAAGAAGCGTTAGTGTGACCTGTGAGGACTACTCGACGTTGCCCTCCAAGCACTAGCCCCATGCCCGACGTACTGCACACGTAGCGCAACACCCTCTTCGCTGCAACCATGTGCTCTGGTCGGTGTCTCACAGGAGCAACATAGCGTGCCAAGATGCTAAGAGGGTATGCAAGGTCAGGTCGTGTGCAGGTCATCAGGTACATGAGGCAGCCAACAAGCTCTGGATACGGGCCACTCGACTCTACGGACTCATCCGAAGGCACAGCTGAGAGCGAGTGGCGAGTAGACAGAGGAGTGGCCTGAGGCGAGGAGTACGTGAAGCCGAAGCGCTGAAGGACGTGCTGCACCATGTGTGACTGAGTCAGGGTAATGGTGCGCTGCGCTCTGTCCCGAGTGATCTGCAAGCCAAGGTAGCTGCGCAGTTCACCCAGGTCTGTGCACATGTGTCTCTTCTACAGCTCGGACTTCACGTGGGCGAGTCCAGCAGTGTCAGCTGTGGCAAAGACCAAGTCGTTGACGTACAAGAGGATGTAGAACGGCGGAAGAGAGGTGTTGGTGCGCAGAAACAACGACGGGTCGGCTGTAGAAGGAGCAAACCGAAGAGCCGCAAGTGTAGTCCTCAGTGTGTCGTGCCACTCACGGGGCGCCTGGCGGAGACCGTAGACTGGCCGCCGGAGGCTCCACTGGGTACCAGGAGGAAACGACCCAGTGAAGCCAGGAGGGCGGCGCAGCCAGATCTCCTCGTGCAGGCTGCCCTGCAGGAAAGCTGTGCTGAAGTCAAGAGAGTGAAGCTCGTAGTCGCGCTGAGCGGCTATGTGCAGCAGCACCCGAAGAGTGGTCATCTTTTGGGTGGGAGAGAAGCTCTGAAAGTAGTCAACTCCCTGCCGCTGACTGAAGCCTCGAGCCACGTAACGCGCCTTGAAGACAGGCGGAGAACCCGGCGGCCGCTTCACCCTGAAAATCCACATGCCACTGATGATGTTCGCCCCAAGTGGGGGAACCTCGTCCAAGTAGGTGCTTGTGGACTTCCAAAATGCCATCTTTGCGTCCATGGGTGAATGCCACTGAGAGGAGTAGGCACCCTCGATCGTCTCAGCGTATGATCGAGGAG